CTCAATAATTTGAAATATGGTCTTTAAGAAAAGTTAAAAATTCCAAGACCCAGAATTTTAATGACTGAATTATTGAAGAAAAAAGGGGTGAGTACGCTTGGTGAATCAGCCTGTATAATCTGTGAAACCGGAGACTTCAAGAGTAAAAATGTGAAATGTAATTTAGAAACACTAAAAGTATAAAATGTTACACTATAGTTATCTTAAATCTTTGGGTATGATAAACAATAATAATTGTATATAATACGTCTAATATTAGTAGGTAGTATGTGCGATGTGCCTATATAATTTATTTTAGAAAATCGCTAGCAGAAATTGCCAGAAATTGTGGTATTATATCACAACCTATACAGGAACTGAATAACCTGCATATTTGATCTGAAATATTAAAATCCCCTTTCTTACCCGACTTAATAAAATAATAAGATTTTTTCATTCAAATAAATTCAATCTAATGAAATAATAATAATTATATTTTATGCATGGACCATTGGACCTATCCGATTAATGAATACTTAAAATTATATACTCGTACATGTTTATGACTGTAGAAATGCTTTTTAAATTGTCATAAGTATGTATATAAATGTACCCAAACCACATCCACATGTAACACTAACAATACCTATGCCTTTTTTCTTTTTTTTGTTAATATATTAAGCTAAACACATTCGTAGTTAATGCTGCAAAGTAAAAAAAAAAATGTGTTATCCTGTAAAAATAAAAAAACCAAAGCATGTAGTACAATTTTTTTTTCATTATATTGCATACCTATGTACAAATTAATAAATTGATATTTATCTTAAAATTTAAACGATTAAATAATTCCTGGGACAACGATATTTAGCCAAATAAATTTTTGATATTACATAAGGTAATTGAACTTAAAAAACTAATAAGATCGTGATTATATTTGGTATTTAATTTGATATAAATTAGTTTATTTGTTTAAGATAAGTTTAATTATGTTGGATATTGCATGCAATCTATATGTGTTACCGATTAAAATTAAAAACCAAAAAGAAAAATAATATTATATAATGCTTTATAAAAGAGGGGGAATACAATTTAAAACAAAATGACGAATGATACATTAAATATAACAATGAAGTCTGAACAAAAAAATAACACTGTATAACTACATACTATTAATACTATTATTATTTAATTTATAGGTAATTAATTTCATAAATATTATACTCTTTAACCCTACAAAACTACGAACTCTAAATCATTAACTACAGCTATTAGATTATTCAGTACAATAGTACATCAAAGTTTACCACTTGAAAACTAATATTAAAGATACCTAGTGATACACAATGTTTTTAATATTTTTATTTGTGTATTAATAAATTTTACTACCAGAAACTATAATAATGTACCTATTATTACCTAATATTTACTTATATTAGATACCTAAAGCTATAGGAATTTCAAAATTGTATATATTTTTGATTAAGAATATATATTTACTATTTTGTATAATATATATAATACACAATCAAATCATCACAATCATACAAGCAAAAGATTGGAATGATCAACGACCAGAATAATGAATATTTATAAAAGTAACATTTGAAAAGGTGTTTGTTCAAACTTATATACGATAGAACCTCCATTATCCGAACCTCTGTTATACTCTTGAACCCTCTATTAATAAACATCAAGTGCAATTTAAGTATCTGAACGTCAACAAGCGGTGTAGCGTTTGTACATGTAATCATAGATTTATTAAAATAATGTATATAATAATTCAATATTAATATAGTAATTATAATAAATTATAAATATCAATATCTTATATTATGTAAATTTTTCTGCGATACTTGTTTTTGATCATATTAAATATATATATATTATGTAATAATGTAGGTACTATAGGTACATATTTTGTAGTAGGTATTAAAAAAATTCCCAATATTTCTAACAGAACTAGGTGCAGTCCCAATTAGTTCAGATAAACGAGGTTCTACTTTAGTTTCAGCAAACATTTGACAGTTAAAAACTAAATATTTAATATTCAATGTCTATTTTATAAATACCATTTTAAAATGCTTTGAAGAATTACGATGCTAGTTAAAGTGTATCTCATTTCAAAAATATGTACTAAAAAATGTGACGAATCCACCTAATATTTTTCAAACTTTTGGCACTATTCCATCATATAAGTGCGTAAGTACAAATAAGAAAACAAAAATCATTATATTGTGAACCATTAGGCACATATTTTATTGTTTTTAGCTTTCTTGGGAATCTAAATTGTAATAGAAGTATAGGTTTAGCCGTTTAGGTACAGCTTCAAATTGCTTTATATTACGAAAATTATTTATTTATAGGTATACCTAGGTGAAATAAATAGTTAAATTGCATACAATATAATTATAAAAGTAAATGTATATAGTTTAGGTTAGGTAAGGTTAGGTACCTATTGAATGTATACAATTGAATATTGATTTAGAGTATGTTTTTATTTGATAGTGTATTATTTTAAAATTTAATTGCATATAATCATGAGCTGTTAGAACTTGAAAAATAATTTTTTGAGTATTATTTAAAACACAATTGTGTAGTAAAAAAAGATTAATTATATTGTACATATTTAATTTATAAATTAAGTATATTAATACAAAAAGAAAGATAAACGAACGGTTGAAAAACGAACGGTCAAAAAAGGTCAGTCAATTTTTGACCGACCATCAAAGATATACTTTAATATAATATACTGGGTGATTCTTTTGGCAGTGAACACTCACAATCCTGAAATGTATTAATATTTTTTAAAATATTTTTTTTACATAATTTGAAATACATATAATACAACATTTTTGGAAAAAAATATATTTTCACTATTTTTTATTGTTATCATTTTTATGTTTTTTCGTTTTTTTTCGTTGTTAACACTAAACATGATATTGATTATAATTTAAATTTACATTTTAACAATATTATTTTACAACTCATAAAAAAGTAGTTTAATATTTTATTTTAATGTATCAATGTTTTCAGAAAAATATTAAATATGAAATTAAAAAGTATAATCCCGTCATAAACATTAGGTTAACAACGTAAAAATTGATATTTTTTTCAAAAATGTTGTTTTAGAAAAATATTTTCAATAATGTTAAAATAATTCTTAAAATCAAAAGTGTTCTCCACTAAAATAATCATCCTGTATGTATATTATACTGTTGTTGTTAATCGTTTAACTGTACGTTTTACTATCGATTATTATGATATTATATTAATGTAGTAACTATGATAAATTATACTATTACTGGTGTGTATCCAATAAGAATGAGTACATGTGCTGTATGTATCATCCCCACTCATGCAGCATATTTTATAGAAATAGCGTATTATATATACTATAATAATAGTAATAATAATAATAATAATAATAATAATAATATGCAAGTACAAACATTAATGTTTTTTTTTTTTAATTTGTTTTTTTTCTACAATTTGTTCATCTTGGCAATGTAAATCAATACAATCGTATGGACAATTTTGACACACACGTGTTGCCGAAGAGTTTACACAGTGTATAATACATATATCATCCCTAATAAAGCATATCATTATTTTATTTTTAAATTCTATTATGTATATTAGTGCATCGGTGGGACACGCTGAATGTCAACGCGCATTATTTGTTAAGCGTAACATTTGTCCCCCAATAGTCGTCGCAGTCATATAAATATTGTTATTGTATAATAATATATGATGCGAATTTGCAGGCACTTTGCATCACATTATATTATAAATTAGTAATTAGAATTAAAAAATACCGGACCGGCACTATAGGAGAGCATTATTATTGATACATACACTCGTTAATAGTTCACACATTATGACATACCTATACATAATATATACATAAAACATTATATGGGACGAAGGTGGTATATATATTATAATATTATAAATGAAATTTTTTGCCGGCTAATAGAAAAAACCGAAACGGCGCAAAAACCGGTTCTCGAAAGAAATAATTATATTTAAAAAAAATTAACAGTACCTAACACTCGAATACGATTTTATAATAGTGATAATACCAGTATGTCTATAATATATTATATAGGTGTAAACACGGTAATCGGTATAGTCATTGATTAGTGATTACTAATACTGGTAGTGAATGGTATAGAGGTAAAAATGCAAAACGTCCAAGACTGTGACATGTTGTGAAACTGGGTGACGTGTGTATAAGAGGGTTGACCAAAAATATGTATTATCTCTGGATATTTGTTTTCATTTGTATTTTAGTAATTTTAATTTTAATACAAAAATCGTAATTCACAGTTATCGATGGTTAAAAATCGAAAATCAAAAACAAAACAAATACATTTTTATTTTTTATTTTCAGTGATTTTATAGAATAAAGTACAATGCGGTTTTCGTGAAAGCATTTTACTCGATAATTACTACCGCATTGATTGTTTTCTATAGTTTTCCTCAGTGTCGGAAAAGTACCATTTAGGTGAATTTAAAATACAACAGCAAATATTGTGGAGATTTTGCTTTGGTCATGGGCGATCAGGGCTCATCAGAGGGCCTAAAAGAATATTGAAATACGGCACAGAATCACACGGGTGTGACGTCCAACACTCGTATTATTATAACATTATATAGGTAGGTAATAAATACAGGCACGTACCTACATTTCAAATTTAATGCTCGGAACATCGAGCGTCTGTAACCTATGTGTCTCGCGATAATAACATGATAAATATATATACTAATATCGTATTTCCAAACTTTTTATTGCGTGTAATATTAATTGTGTGTATTATGTTACCAGGTACCCATTGTAATTTATAATCGCGTTATTTAATATTTTTATCATACATATCATATTATTATGTAGCAGCACATACACATAATATAATAATAATATCGCGGAATGCGTCGTACGAAATATTGTTATTGTGTCGTATAATATATGTAATGTATAATAATATCATATTATTATTATTATTATTGTTATTACGTACCGGCCGTGTGCAGAAGGAGTATGGTGCAAACGTACAAGGTCGTCTTCGGCGGATCGTACAACATTTTGCCGTCTCGCCTGTCCGTGATGCGTCTTCGCGGCCCGGCTTTATAACAATAATATTGTAAAGTCACGTCAAGTCGTTATAAATTTCGACTGCCTCTATATGTCTATTTTGTCTCCTTGCTAGTCACCTCCGCCGGCGTGGATATTATGTCATTCAGAATCACGCAGATGTACGTGCAATATACTGTGCTATATCAGCCGTCGGTGTTTGCAGTGTCGTTGTTGATGATACTGATGCTGTTGTTATTGTTGTTGCTGTTGATGTTGTTGATGTTGTTGTTGTTATTGTTGTTAATGGAATTGTAAAGCGAGCACGTATAGTTGACGAACTGGTTTCGGAATAATGTGCGGCACAGCTTCAACAGACGGCGAATGTTATTTGCACGACCGTTCGTCAGGATCGACAAAACCGAAAGAAAAAGATAATTATTGTAGGTGGCGGCGGAACACTACTAAATTCTTGAAAACTGCCGCCAAGATGAAAAAAAAAATGTAATATATACAGTAGGGCCGAAGGGAAGAGAGCTAAATTTCTCCCACCAGCCGCGCGCGCGGCACGCGCTCAGCTGCAACAGCTCTGCGGCCGGTCCACGGCGACATTCGCGCGCACCAACGACCGCCTCTCCTCGATTGCATATTATAATAGTAACCTCCTCGATGTATTTTATTTTAATAATTTGCGTACCTATAATGCTATGGGCCCGCGGCAGGTTGCTGCTGGTCACTGTATTTATCCGCGTGCAAGCCGTTAAGTAGGTAATAATAATTAATAAATAATAATAGAATATCATGGACGTACCTAGGTGGCTGGGTACCTACGTGTTATTATAACTTAAAAGTATGACGTATAATATATATATTTATTACCACGTAAACTGTAATTATACATATAGTGTAAAATATATTGTGTATTATAGGTAGGTACTTTAGCTGCGATGGACATCAAATGTTATTTTATCGATCGCCCAATCGCAGCGATATAATATAATATTAGAGCAACTGCAGACGAAAAGTAGGAGGTGGTTCTCAATAGTCAATAGTGTAACTATTTTAATACAGTCGATCACATAGATTCTGAGCTGAGTGATAAATTAATAGGTTTTACAATGGTATGATTGTTTTAAATTTTTCTTCCTTCTATTACATTTTGGATTTTTTGGAAAAATTTCAATGTTGAAGAATTTAAGGGTGGTTTCTGGCAGTCTGGATCTAATTGGTACTTTGAGTAGAGAGTATGGTAAAATTAGTTGTAATTAAAGAGAAATAACTAAAGTTACTTGAAATTATGAAATGTTCATAATATCGTAGCTTTTTTCAGAATTTTTCTTAAGATATTTATATACGATTTGGGCTAAAAGTTTTATTTTTTTGTTACGTTGATAACATTTTTTTTCTAAATCTTGAAAATATAATTCTATTATGATTTTATACATCTATTTACAGCAGTTGATAAATCTCAAAAGTACAGTCACATTTTTTTTATAAACATCTTAAGTTAAAGAAATCCGTCAAACTGACAAAAATCACTGCTGTTAAAAATGTATAAAATGTTTAACTGAATCATTCACTCTCATTTATCATTCTTCGATAACGCTCAGCCGTCTCACCGCCGACACTTATCATCAAATCATTTTCTGGTTGCCGCCTGCGAGTAAAAATATATTATAAAGTAATATGTGATATGCCGTATTGCCATCACATTTTAATGACATTTTGAAAACGAACCTTTCATAATACCTCCGGGATTCGGACTGACGAAAGGTGTCAACAGTTTTACGAAGATTACTCACCAGTCGTCGAATGTACGTATATCGGTTATCTATGTTATTCACGAGTTCTTTGTAGGAATAATGACGATATTTCATAAACATTTAAGGACTACGATGCTGATTTAGAGCTTATTTTATTAGTTATGATTCGAATTAATACGATATAATGTACGAATATTGTACCTATAACTTATACGTTTGGAGATTCCAAGTAAGATCTTGGTCCATTCCTATAATTCATACCTGTATATCTCGACAGTGTTATTATACATATAGTGTTGTATTTATAAAACAAAATACAGTATATCATATAATTAAGTAGAATGCGAATTTGAAGGAATCAATTGACAAAACTTCCCTAAATATAGGAAAATTATGAAGTCTTTTGATAATGAATTTAAATGTATTCATTACTAGTATATTTTATTATTACTATCTAATATATAGGTAATATCGATATAAAAACATCTTTTAATCTTGATGATTATCGAGCCAGTTATAAATTCTTATCCAAGCGTTAGCGTTGCCATCGGTACTACATACCTAATTCAACTCAAGAAAGATCTTGCATGCAGCTCTCTTTTCTTCTGTTAATTCATCAGTAAAAACAAACCATTGACAGACAGGTTTTAGACCGATAGTGAGTAGTATGAAATGCCAAGTTCTGAGGTTTCGGCAAATGTAAATTAATCTTTCAAACATATTGAATCCTCCTACTATTTTTGGTTTACGATTAATCGATTACTTTCAAAAAAATCTTCTACCGCTTCTTAGTTCTAACGCTAATTTTTTTATGTAGGTATATAATGAACTTCCTTCTCTTTCTAAAAGACCTATTTAATTTGTTTACTATTATTTCTAGTTTGTTTTAAGAAAATTCTATTGGTATTTTCCGTTTCTTATTCAAAATTAGTTCTTGAGGCCTATTTTAAAGTCTGGTAACCCATCTTAAGTTGAAAAACGTCGACATATTGTCAATACCTCTCGTATAGCTAAATATGAGAGTCAATACTTTCTAGTTACACCTTTACAACCTTTTATTAGAATGATTTTATTTTATCTGGTGAGCATAATAGTATTGACCCAAGTGTTCTACAGTCACTTTTAATGTTATAATCAAATTTTTTATTGCTTTGAATTTTGATGAATATTTTTCGTTGATCATTCCAAAACAAAAATGTATGTTGTGTATAAAAACCACCTACATTTAAGCGATCACGTTGACCATGCAATCCACACGAAGATACTATCAACAGCTAGAATTGATGAACCAATCCTTTTTAAATTTCTTCCTTATGTAACATAATCTTACGGGTTACTAAATCGACGGGTTCTACATGGTGGTACTTTATCCAACGTTTTCAACTCCACCCCAGGTGTCCTTCATGAGGTAATTCTCTCTCCTTTTTTATTTCCCCTTCTTGTTAATGAAGTGAGTAGCGTTTAACATAATACTTACCACCATAATATTTTAGATAAATGACGAGGAGATACCTACACCCAAAGCCTATTATACAACGGAGAGAATTCCCTGGTTTTTGTTTGTATTAATTAAAATAAAATAATTTGAGGCTTATGGTTTACTGTACTAAGTAATTATATAACATTGCGTAATGCTATTGATTGCTTAATTGCAAGAATAAATTGTAAAAATATTTAATAAATTAATGGTTGTATACAAACAGACTTCAATTTAGCTATGTCAAGTACGCAAACTTGATATGTCTTTTTTTTTAAATGAAGTCAAGACTTAACACAATGTTGACACCTTGAACATAAAAGTTACTACTTACAAAATACAAGTTAAAAATAATTAATATTAATCTTTCAAAATATAAATTAAAAATATAATATGTCAACTAAATGATAAATAATATATACTTATCAATACTTAGGTATTAGCCCTTAAGTATACATATAGTGTCACACTATAAGTGTCATAAATTAAATGAATATTATATGAATTATGTAACCTATTTGAATACTATGGAAAGAAATTCATAAAATTGTAATTATTATATTACGCAATATATTTTATTTTCTAAAATGCTTTGATTATTAATATTCTCCTCTGTTTATATAATTTCCCAATATTCTGACTAAAAAGTAAATCTTTTTTTTTTATCGAAAAAACTCACTCGTTGTGTACTTGTAGTTATTGAAAGGTTAAGATTTTCTTATCTTCAAACATTACAGTTATTAATGTAATATTAGTAATCATAACAATTATTCAAATATAAGACAATCTGATGAATTTATTTTGAAGGGTCAAATGTCTGATTGTTAAAAACTTAACGGGGGTCAAATGTCCACGATTCGTTTAATTTAGTACTAAGAATAATAAGAACACATAGATACCTACTCTGTAAAAATTTAAATAGCGAACATTTGATTGGTTGTTTTTTATTATTATAGAAGGTATATTGCAATATATTTTAAAGACCAAACACTTAACGTTGTTTACAAAATCTGAATTGATCATTGCTGTTGCAAGTGGGCACCGATGATCAGACATTCCATTGATATTATAATAAATGGACGGTCTCCACAAGTATAAGCATATGATTATTTATTATGTATATAACTATACTATAAGTACCAACTTATAATATACTTTAGAGTGTAGATTGTAGTGGCTGTATAAAAAATAGTCTCTATAGTTAATTTAATTTTCCTGTTTTCCAGACTATGCACGTGTATAGAAAGAGACAAGGCTGTCTTTCAGAATTGTAATTCAATATTTTTTATGCAGAATATGATTTTTGGTTAGTTTATCCTAACATAAATAATATGGTAATAAGGAAAAAATATAAAATATAATTATTCATATAAAATAACAATCTATATAGTTTTCGACAAAAACGAAAGGGTGATGTCGGTACCTACTCTAGTACTTTGGTATATGTAAATATTGTAAATTATGGGTATGTCTGTTGTTCTGTACTGTGTAAGATTACCATGGAGTGTAACCCATAAGTAAAAATATAACCCAAGCGCAACTCATAATCGCAAACAATATTACCTCAGTAACTTACAAGTTACAACAACCCATAAGCTCAATAAAATTATTCATTAACTTGTTGTGAAAAACTAAAGTGGGTTAGGTTACAAGGTCAATGAATTCAAATATTTCCATGTTTTATCATATATTATTTAAAATGAGTTAACACAAACTAATCATTTATACACATTTATTTCAACAACAACATTATATTTTCTTAAAATAAAAAATAATAATAATAAAATTCACAGACAAAATAATTTTAATTAATTCCACTTTAGGCCTAAGTTATCAGTATTAACGACGGTCTAGTATTTCGTACTAAAGTTTAACATAATTATAATAAACAGCCTACCATTTAAAATTATTTCAAACAACAAAATTTATATAAGTTTTTAATACAATATATTGTATAGTATTTTGAAGTTTAACATCGCTTTGGCACCAATCATAATAATATATACATAATAATATATCGGTACATATATATATATTAAATTTAAATAAAAATAAATAAATTTGTATTATATTAGTTTAAATTTGTGAATAGTTTTAATGAAATTTCAATGTTCTATAGATTATGAGATGGAAATTCGGTGTATGAGTGGGTAATCGAATTTATTAAAAATCTAAAAATTGTAAACGTTTCCTAATTATGTTGGTTTCTAAACCAAAATTTTCATTTTATAATATTCGTTTTACTTAAAGTATTGAATTAAAAAAAAAATTAAATGATTTCCACGCATACTCATGATACCTATACTTATTAAATATGATAGGTAAAATATGCTTACTAAATATATATATATGTATAAAAAAATCATTAGTTAAAACATGGAAGTATTCAAGTATTTGATCTCGGTTACTATTCAAATAAATTATGGCTTTATAGTTGGCTTGAAATTAAGATGTATTTTTGATACACATTTAACTCTATGTTTTGAGATTTTATATAAATATTTTTTAATTAACGAAATAACTAAAAGCAAACAAATTTGTATAGAATTTAATACTGTTTTATTTCAATTCTTATTGGTTAAAACGAAATTATAAATATTTTATGTTTTAATCTTAAAAATAACATAACAGTGTAGTATTACATACTACTTTGTCAAGCAGAATTTTAATATTTAATAGGTACCGCATATACATACCTCTATACATATAATTTATTATAATTTGTAAGTATTTATCAGCCAGAAGAAAAAAATTTGAAATGTTACATTAATGGCTTAAATAATAAATATATTTATACTCTTTATTATTTTGATAACTATGTACAATATTGAATCGTAGCAAACCAAACAGCATGATAAACGGGTTTTAATGATTCCCTAATGTTTAGCATTTTTATTTTAAAACATTCCAAAATTATTTTTCTATTTTAGATACGGATTTGGCTATTAGTCATGTCTTCGATATGATTAATATTATCGTGTTTTCTAGTGGTATAGTCGTATTATAAATACAATTTCACAACCCTTAATTTTCGTCACAGTCTGTTATTGAATTACTTTATATTAATTATATTTTATACATTATTACAATTTGAAACTTATTAACTATAACAAAAAGAAATAAAAATAAAAATGTGTAGGTAAATAAATATTGTAAAAGACCTGTGGTCTGATTGTATATATTATGTAGTTATATTAATATACTTATTGTTAAATTAAGTCCTTTGATATTATGTTATTAATATTTTTGTTTGTGGTAATATTTTTCAAAACAAATTTGAAGAACAGATAAAATTTCCTTTTTTTTTATTCATTTAAATTGTAGGCACGAAAATCACCCTTTGTTTTAATATTTTATTATTCATACTATTTTCTTTCTTTAAGCAGTAAAATTGTTTTCACGTATTTTATATAATAAAAATAAAATATGCATTGAGTTTTTTTTGAACCCATCATACTTAATTCGATAAATGCTGACATTAAGCGTACGTATATAATAAACATTTTATTATTGGAACTTAATCATACAATTTTTATTGATAACAATTTAACAATTGGGCACATGTTATTATATGTTAATATAATATTTTATTTCACCGAAACGATTTAGTGTTTTGACGATGGATTTAAATCTACATTTTGATAATTTGATGCTGTCATTGAGTTATCGTCTGCATATTATAGGAAGACATGTATATTACAGTAGGTAAGTAGGTACATATTATCATATAATTGATAATCCATATAATACTCGTGAATTATACCGAAAATTAATTTGTCCTGTGCATGGTTAAATCACAGCTCTCAGCTACAACTGCAGCAGTAATTAATGCATTGTAAACGTATTCATAATTAATGACTTATGTACCAATATTCTGTTTAGCGAAAAATCGCTCCAATTCTTCGCACCCACCACGTCACCCTACTATCGAAACCGATTCCTCAATCGCACGGTGTAGCGTGGGGATGCTCAAAAAAACCTATGTTGATCGTCCCACTGCGCATTCTCTCACTGAACAGGGTATAGTACCTAGTATGTTATAACTTAAGTTATTTAAATACCGTTAAACGTCATACATGTGTACATACATACATACATATTACATACATACATACATACATACATACATACATACATACATACATACATACATACATACATACATACATACATACATACATACATACATACATACATACATACATACATACATACATACATACATACATACATACATACATACATACATACATACATACATATATACATACAATATACAATATACATACATATTGTACACATAGGTTTCATATTAGGTAGTAGGTAATACACTTAAACGCTATGCTGAGCCTGTATAAACCACCACCATTCAGACATTCATACCGTAAAAAAGCATTGGGTTTTTGGGCGTTTGCGAGACCGACGACGGTAAATTATTATGGTCGACATAGTCTTGTTGCTGTTGCTGCTGTTGCATGTGTAGCCTACTGTTATTTGCAACTCCTCTGGTGGGAGATGTCTGTTTGAATTGTGTCGCCAGATGTTCGTCAGACGGTTGGAAAGGGTGAGGTGGTAACTGCGGTTGCGGTAACTGCTGCTGCTGAATGTTGGGCGGTGGGGGCGGTGGTAACTGGTAATACCGAGTGGTCGATATCGCGGCCGTCTGGGTGCCACGGGCGATAACAAACTGTTGGCCGTGGTGTATTCTGGCATGGCCGTGTTGGACGATGTACTCGTTTGGAGGGTGTCGGATTTGAACCTGTGGCGGCGGTGGGTGACCGGTGACGTTGCCGGTGGCGGTGGACGCGGCCGCTGCAGCTGTGGTCAACAGGTGTACCTGAACGGGACCTACCGCTTGGTACGGCACGCGAATGGTCTGCTGTTGTTGACCGTGCGTCACTCTGATGATGGATCGTTGGGCCGCGGCTGGGTACGGAGGGGGGGCTCGCGTGTCACCTTGAATCCGGGCGCGGACAGACGCCACCGTGGCCGCTGGATATCTGGGCACAAAGTCGGGCTGGACGTCGAGTGGCGCCGTCTGCAGGGCCGGTTCTCCATAATACGACCGGGGACGTTGCGGCGGCTGCGGATTGTTCTTGATGGTGATCTGCGCAGAGAACCCGGACCGGATGCCATGCACTTCCGGCCGTCGATTGAACCCATAATCGTCGTTCTCGTCGTCGTCGTCCTCAGTCGCGGACGCGGTGGCTGTGGGAGGCATATATCGCTTGCGGATCTTCTCCAGGCGACCTGAGTCCTGTTGCACGAACGCTGCAAGCTCTTCCTGCCTGTGTGAGCTAGGAGCTTGAGTGCCGGCTACCACGTCCGGTTGCGGACAATGCGATGGTTGTGATGCCCCTCCCGCCACCGATCCTCCGGTGGCTGGATGCACGTTGCCCGTGACGCACGCCGTCGCTAAAGTGGACAGGAAAGGTTTGCCACCGGTGGCTGATCGGGCGGCCGCTCTGCTGCTGGCAGCCGAGTGACCGTCGCAAAGGTCTAGTCCGTCGGCTTTGCCAGTCGGGTCACCGTCGTTCGTCGATTGAACAACTGGTGGCGGCAGCGGTTGATCATACCGGCCGGTGCCACTACCACTGCCCAACAATTCTGTGAGTTTTTTGTACGCCGGAGTAGTGGCTGCCGCTGATGGCGTCACCGAATCACACTGCACCAACACAGTGTAAGCGGTCGCCTGTTCCTGCATGACGCCCGACGCCTTCTTGGCCGGGTCGTCGGCATCGTCGTCGCTGTCGCACGTCAGCCGCCGGATCTTCTCGATCAACGATATCTCTTTTGAGTCGTTGACGTTCTTTTTTTTCACAGTGTTCCGCCTCAGAGTACTCCTTTCGATGGTTCGCCTGATGAGGCTGTTGGACGTATCATCATCGTCGTCGTCGCTATGCTGTTCGCTCTTGAACCCTCCACCGCCCAAGCCACCGTTCATCGATCGACTGTCAAACGCCCGGAGTGACTCTTCGGTGATCAAATATTTGTTCAGCAGCCTCGCGTCGTCTGTCTCTTTGATGCGGGTTGGCGGGCACACGAACTTAGTGGTCGGAAATAACTGTCGCACTGCCGAGTTTGGGTTACGGTTGTTGTACAGCATAGTATTATTACCACATTTAATCATTACATACCCCTCGTCGGGGGCGACGGCAGTGGCACCGGTGACGGCTTTTGCATCTTCGGTCTTGCTAGCGCCTTCAATACCGGACCCATCCACGGGCCTAGTCTCCTGTACGATCTGCCTCTCGGTAACCGTGGTCATGGTTATTGTTTCCACGATGCACCGTGGTTGCTGGCCCGTACTTGAATTTGTATCACAGGCAGTGTTTGTTTTCGTCAACTGAAGGGCGGATGCGTTTGTTAGTGGCTGTGCCTGTTGCTGCTGCTGCTGCTGCTGCTGCTGTTGCTGTTGCTGTTGCTGTTGCTGTTGCTGTTGCTGTTGCTGCTGCTGCTGTTGCTGTTGTTGCTGCTGCTGCTGCTGCTTCTGTTCGTCTTCTGCAGATAACAAAAACAAATCGATTTAAAATTGTGAAATAAATATTATATATTATTATCATGATTTATGTTCAAGAGCAGATAAAGCTGGTAGGTTTTCGCTTGAAATTCGTTTAATATTATTTTCTCAGTAAGTACAATGTAATGCATTAGGTACCAATTAAAATCACAAAAAAATTTTATTTGAAGAGTTATCAGACATGTCACATAATATTATTTACTTATTGATCATTTTGAAGGGTTAAATAAAAACAACTGTCTAACCGGGCACCAATAGTGTAACAATATTTTTTTAATGGAATTAATTTGTGCCAAGTAGCTGGTATTTGACGAGTAGATTGACGTGTTGAACGTAGCTATTGTGTTCGTGTATAAACAACGCAAATAAAATATGTCTGACAATTTGAATGGTACAATATATGTTATCCTTATAAACGATTGACTACTATAATATACTATAATATTTTAATATAAATTAAAATATTATACTTTAATTTATTATATAACTTATAGTTTGAATTCTACTTTCTTACCATTATAAACTTGCTAAAAATAAACGAAAACACAATTTAAATAATATTCACATATATATTACACTATTATACAGTGTATACTATTCAATATAAGACATTATATCGATGAATAACCGTGAATAAAAACAGAAGCATTGCCCCGAAAACCAATTGAATTATAAATCCATTATAGATATCTATAACTACCTGTAGTAAAATATTATAGGTCATAGAATATATTATCATATATATTATATATTAAATAAAATGGTATGGAGGTACTACTGACTACTATAGTAATGTTCTAAAAAAATATATATAATACAATTTTTACTCGAAAAATGAACCATTCTACCCACAGGGACCCACTAATATTCGATATCCGTGGTTCAGAGGCTCTAGCCATCCTTAATCCCGACCCGACCACTGTGGAAACTGGAAACCTCACACCAATTTCCAAGGGATAGAAGATAAACTCAATATAAATATATAATGCTTACATTATACATATTATATTATTTTTATTGCCGAGCAAAAACTCTACAGGTAGGTCAGCACAAATTCTGCCATCACAAACTCTCCACTGAGGAGTTTCCTTGTACTGCCAGAATCGTATCTAATACTGTCTTAAAATAAATACTTACCTAGGTTGAGTAATACGGAAATATAAGTACCTACACCTAATTTTATTTTTAGTATTATTATGAATAATTAATATCAATCGTACATAGTTACATACATGTGTATCATTATTATACCCACTGGTCATTAGTCATTACTCATTGAAACCATCATTACCTATCAATAACAATTTAAACACAACATGGTATTTTAAAAATAAATTTACCGTACCTACACCTATATTTTAATAACTATGAAAAATGTGTTGCATGCAGAATTTCTGCCTTGGAATAAAATATAAAATATAATTATATTTTTCTCTTGATAAATGTATTTCAACTTCCAAGCTTATACGGCCCACTTAAATATTTTTGGAATTAAACGAATAAACGATAAGGCAAAAATACTAAATACGCAGTTTCTTAAAATTCTAGAATTACACATTCCGGGATTTATACGTTCCACCTACCTATTTTCCAGAATTCTACTATTTTCCTTAGATTTTATATGATATAATACATCTATTCTATATGAAAAATCTTAAAACATTACAGTTTCATATAGAAAGTATAGCTATTTAAAACACGATCTAAAAAAGGTTATCGAAGTTTCATAGTTTATTGTTTGTAATCGACAAGTGAAATAGTCTATGTTTGAAAGGTTTAAAATTATAACCAATTTATATTCGTGTCAATCCTCGTTAAAATCATCTACTCACCCTAACGAATAAAAAATATTTACTTTAATTTTTAATTTTATGCAAATACCTATGGGCTATGAAATGTTATTACTTTTTAAATATTATTACACGCTTCTGCATGGTTAATAATGAAATATTAAACATTTTGCCATGCTATCTTATCATTATGCATATTAGAGATACATTTCCTTACTCTTATCTATATGTACAAAAATGAATATTTCTTTGTCCTCTGTATATTCAAAAAAAAATTGGACCGATTTTAATAAAAGTTAAATGAATAGATATAGCTTATTTTTTGACCCCTATAGGGTATAAGGTGACTTTGAATTTAATTTTGGTTCAGGAAAGTCGAACACATTTTTTGTTTATTTAAATGGTTGTCACTGATTAAGATTATATTACTATATTAATTAGTGGAAATACAATTTTTTATAAATATATTTTAAAAAAAGAATCTTAAAATCAAATACCTACTTATATATTAACACAATTTTAATAATTAGTTTTATAATTTACTATCGGGGTTTGCTTTCTTAATTTTGGACATATTCTGTATGTAAATACATAACGACGAATATCAATCTCAACGATATTGGATTTACGTCGGATTTTGATATTGTAATCGTGTTTGTGTTATAAATTTTAACTGCAGGAGTAAAACAAAAAATGATAGAAAGATAGGTTAATTTGCTGAGCTAAGTCGGATAGGTAGTACATCAGTAATACAACTAATTGTCTTATAAATTATAGATGTATTTCAACTTTGGTCACATTTACACACTTTTTAGTCGTTTTTAAATTGGACTTTGTATAGTATATTTTGTGTGAGTAATTTTATATTACTATTAGCAATACTGATTGATATAGGTATCTAATAATAAATAATATAATGTAATATTGCACACAATCTCGTATTTGGGTTCACCGTTTGCGATACGCTGTGCCATTATAGTATAAATTTTACTTACTACTTGGCCAGGGTAAGGATGAAAGTTCATGACGAGCTTTTTGATTGTTATCCTCGAAATAGGACGTGGAGTTGACATTGGAATTATATGGCATGGCGACATGCGTATCGCTGCAACCATCCATAGCATCCGAACCATATCTTGTAGCCAAATCATCATCTGCTACAATATTATTTCGATATTAGTGACTTGTTTTGTACAATGCGATTTTGAATGTTTTTAATCATGAAAACAATAAGGTATCATATATTTTCATCTGTTGTAAGAGTATGAAAAATAACTTATAATAGTTATAGTATACAGTTATATATAACATAAATATATTATAGAATCAATTACTATATTTATTATTATTTATATTTTTTATTTAAAACATTCCATCAATATTTAAAAAATTACATTAGATGCAAACAATCGTATATATTATATTAATTATTACCTAACAATAATGTAATTTACGTATCGTTTTCTATATTATACTTGAGCAGCTTAAAGTTTTATTTTAATATATGTAATATGTATAAAGATATATAATATAATATTATTATAATGTATTATAATTTATAATCATCTTATCACTGCAATTTGAGCTCAAGGTTACAAACGTATTAATTAGGGTTATGCAATTTCTATATTTTAAAATCGAGTAGGTTTATAAATATTCTATTTTTTCTCTCTTTCATTTATGGTTGTAACTTGTAATAGGTACCTAGTAAATGCAAAGTGTGCTTATTGAATTCATTTTTATCATATGTTTTATACAATTATCGCTGTGGTTAATTAATTTAATAATGGGGCCTTTAAATTGAATGTTACTTGTCGTGATAAATATATTTAAATAATGTCTAATGATGAATCTTTATGATTTAAAATATAAGCATAAATTCAATGTAATTCTTGCACTAATAGGGTATCTAAATAAATAACTAACTTAAAAATACATAATATTAATATGTCTTACGCATGACGCTACATTTTTAATGAAATTGGAAAACGAAAATCTCTTTGATGCATATTTACATATCAATATTATAGTTTTTATTTTAAATGCAAATTTTTTCTATCGATTTCTTTTTAAGTAGATTTTCATATTTTAATACTCGATTATTTAAAAACGTTTATTTGTACAGATGAATAACCTAATTGGTAACATAAATGCTTGAGTCCGGTTTATTAATTTACAAAATACAGTTTTTAGATATCATCAAATTTGCTAATTTCTGGAAATAAATCTCTTAAAAATAACATTCAAATCTATTCAATAGTCAACATTTAAGACGTACAAAATATCATCACAGAATGCCGCCAATCTGACAGAGAAAAACAGGAAGCAGGAGTACCCCTCATTCTCGCCGAAGCCCTCCAGCCAGCCAACATTCAAAACACGATATCATTTATAATCAATTCTAATTTAATTAACCTTCTGTAAAATAATTTGTATATTAATATTAAGCAATTACCTTCCTTTGTAAACCCATAAATTTGTAGTAGCCAATGGCCCTAGATGCCGAGGCTTTGATTAATAAAAAAAAAAAAAAAAAAAAATTTTATTTAAAATAATCTAATATAGGAAGTCGATCGAGAATGACTAAAATCAAACCCATCGATCAAAAAGAACAATGAAATAAGAAAATAAATTCTTAGCATCAGACATCAGTTATAATAGGTATAATATTTGTATAAATAATGTTGTTACTTGGTAGGCCAAAAAAATCCATTTGAGGTAAGAAATACTCTAATAAAATCCATACTATTGTAAAATTATTCGAGATAGAGTTTTTTTTTATTTAACAAATTTTACTTCATGTATAATACTTCGATTATAAATGTTTTTAAAGAGAAAAGAAACTAAAACTATTGTCTCCAGGCATTCAATCTTCAATTGAAGGCAAAATATCTAAAAATAATAATTTGATAGTATAACCATTGTCTCAAATGAGGTCATAGTAAACAGTGGTAGTTTTAATATTGATAATTTCAACGACTCGTATTTTGTTGAATATATAGATATAATATTAGATACCTACGTCTTAAAATAGATTTCATTTTTCAAATTGCATACCACGTTTAAGCCACTGTGAGGCTTAATTAAGTTGGATATGAATGATGTATGGTTTTTTTCTAACAAGGCTTTTAAGATCAAGATTACATACTGACTGAGATATTTTTAAAATACATTATGTGTATAACTTCAGTACAATTCTAAATAGTCGTTAATCACATACACTATATACCTCATTGCCTGTTCACCAACTATCCACTATATATAAAATATAAATAATATATAGAGAGGAAGGTAATATATATTATACTATGTTTATATTTTTTATCCATATTATAAAGATCTATAGTAATACGCAGTGCTTAACCTTATCAAATTTCGTACCTACTACGCACTACATAACTGTGTATAGAACTTATATACCTATAGATATATAAATTTGTATTTAATTGATCTATATAGGTTTCATCATACTGTGCAAACAACAAAATTACTCTTTTTAAATATCCAAAGTCCGATATTATATGCATAATACACATTATAGCTGTAGCTGGTAGTTATATTATAGTCCAGGGCCGGGTCCTAAAACCGTTTCGGCCCTGGTCAATGGTTATTTATTATTGCAGGTACCGTATTTCAGGTGGTCCAGAGACGGCGGGACGTGCCTGGGACAGCCATCCTTGTAACCATCCGGTGGACTGAGCGTGGCTGGCTGTTCTTCATACGGGTCGAGTGGTGGCATGCCACGGCTGTCTTCATCGTCCAGCCACGGTTGAAAACACGTGGCATCGCCACAGCTGCACGGGTGCTGCGACCAAAAGTCAAAGTCCTCCTCGTCGAACTCGCAGTCATCGTCCCGGATGACAATCACGTAGTCTGATTCGAAGAACACGTTCAGGCTCTCGTTGAACTGCACGTGCCGCTTGTGCTTGCTGGACTTGGCCGCCTTGGAGCCGCCACCGGTTGCCGTGCGTTTCAGAGCCGATTTCTTGGGTCTCGGCTCGCTCGCGCCGTTGCATAGCTGCTGCTGTTGCTGTTCGTCTGTACCGGACGGCGGCCGCTGCGGTTCGTCTTTCTTCTTCTTCTGTTTCATGACTTACTGGCGGTGGTCGTCAGTCAGCTTTCGACATAGCGGCGTCCATGACAGTGAATTCGTCGAACCGATCAACAGTCACTGCCGCAGCCTCTGTCGTCGTCTCCGCCGCCACCGCCCCCGCCACCTCCGAAGTCACCACTGCCGCCGCCGCCGTCGCCGTCGTTCTTCGCTTCGCTACCGCCCCGCCAGCACCCCAAATGTCTGTCGGCGACGGTACTCCGTGAAGAATCTACGACTACGGTCACAGTAAAAGCGGCATCGGACTGTCCATGGCGCACATGCAACTCGCGACGACAGCAAAATCAACTCGAAATATTGGCACTCGTATATCGATCCGCGACGGCAACAATAATAATTTATTACGACGGCAAAGTGATAGTAACCACTGTATATAACATGTTTGATTTTAATATATGTGTATGTGTGTGTGTATATGTGTAAGTAAGGGTTTGTATGTGTGTATGCGTAAGTAAAGGTTTGTGTGTATGTCCGTTAGTGAGTATTTGTGTGTGTGCAAGAGAGTTAGTTCGTGAGTGTAAGTGAGTATTTGTGTGTTTTTTCGGGCACGGGATCGTAGCGAACGTGAATGAGCGGCGGACTGCGTTTCGTCTGGAAACGACGCGGCGGCAAATCAGATGGCGTACAGGTCGATAATGCCGAGCACTCTCGTTACGGGCGCCGCGACGCCGCCCCCGCCTCGGCTGTCACCCACCCCTGTAAGCGGGATCGCGCGCGCGTGTAAGGCCGTACGCAAGGCAGCAGCAACCCTCTGCGCCACCTGCCGATCATCTACGCGCATTAGCATCATTATATTATACTCGAGCGTGCGACACACCAACACGACGATGGTGGCTGTTCCGACTCGATCGCTGTATGTTTTATGTAATAACAACATAATATTATGACATTAACGTAAATCACCACGTATTTATCAACATTTATTATTATTATAACAACGATGATAACAATAATATTATATATGTTTGTGATACCTATCTCGAGTTCCTTGATTGTATCGGGTCCACTCAGAGACGATGACGAAATCAAGACATATTTACCTATACATGATATTCAAATATTCAAATATTATAGTGTTCGTGTCTCGTTCAAATCCTTTGTACTAAACATCCATTGATTGCAAAGTTAAGTTTGACATGGTATTATCTAACGCCGACCGTGGGCCTGGACCGGCATTAAATGGACCATTACAAATCATTATATACCTGGCTAATATAATATAATACGTATACCTTCCTATTTGGGTACATCATTATTGATTGTGCACTTCAGCTCTGGATCGACACCTCGAGATTAAGCGAGGATTTTGTCGTCAGTCTAAATCCGCGTCTCTCAAACTTGTATAAACACTGTACCCCCTTTTACCAATGCAATTTTTTGAGTACGCCTCCTTAGTTAGTAAACTAAAATATATAAAAAATCTTAAAGACTTCTACTTAGTAAAGTATACGGTACCATTTTAAACGTGAAATGCGAAAATCGTATGCCTCGGATTTTGTAGTTTTTTCCCCTATTTAAAGTTATAAGTTTGTTGACCAGACTCGTACCCGCCAAAAAAATCTAAGTATCCTCAAGGAGTATGCGTCTCATATTTTGAGAACCACTGGTTTAAAGTATTAAAATTGAAAAGGTATTCTAATTATTTAGTTATATGATCTATGATATACGAAATTATTGCGTCTTGCATACCATACAAGAGGCATATTACGGTGATGCCTAGTATACTATTTACTTACCACTAATATCCGTGTGGCCGTTTAATTGTATATAGTAAGTATTCACTTACTCAATTTATTATGTACCTATATCCCAGTAAGGCCTTATTCAATGTGTATATGGTAATTTATTTGCGTAGAAACTTGTAGACCAGTTAGTAGGTAATTCGTCGTAAGCTTATGAGTTATGTTATGCATTATAATATTATATCCAATCTTTTGTGTTACATTTACACCTGCACTCAGTTCTATTTAACCGTCATTTTTTTATATTTTTGAAATAACGTTAATATAATTGTAATGTGAATTTTAGTATTCATATAATATACCTAATGATTGTTATTGTTTTTGGTTTGTAGAAAGGGATGCATCCCTCGAAATGTACTCACTATATATTTCGACTCCGTTTATATATTATTTAAGTGCCTAATTTTTTTTCATGACTTTTATACTCTCTAAAATTAATTGAAATATGTATAATATTTACAAGTAGGTATAAACTGTATTACGTATAAACCTGAAAATGAAAATAATAATTAAAATTAATTGACTGTCGCTTGTAAAAATGTTCAATATCTTATCTGTCATTTTAAATTTAGTACACTACATTTTAAGTTTTTATTGCATACTTTTTCTATTTGTATTTACTTCCTTTCAATTCATTTTTCTTGTGCACACTCGATCTTTAAAAGTCCCTTGCAACCTCCAGCATATCCTTTTTTGGATGCTCTTCTTTTGTCTTTCTTCCTCCTCCATGGGTAACCTACTGTTCGCCCAATCATATATTTAAAGCCTTCTTCTAAATTCTTGACCCCCTCTAGGCTCTAAACTTATCACGCTAATCTTATCTTTAATATATTTTATCACCAAAGTTGGTTTCCTAATTTATATTAAAATTTTTTTTTATTACTTTCCATCTGTTCTTTATTCATAAATTGTGATGTTGTGCTTTAATGTTTTTGTTTTGAATAAAAGCACTTAAATTTGGAAAATCATATTTAATTTAATTAATTAATTTATTTATTTATTTATTTATTTATAGAATATACAGGCATGAGCCCTTTTTACAAGGTAATAGTAATTTAGGTACAGAGAAAAAAAAAGAAAATGAAATAAAAATGTTACAAATTATACATATGAATAATCTTATAACTTTTAGTATCTATTAAAAACAATATTTTGACTTACAACTTATGTCCTTCAATTATTATGTAATTCGCAATTAGATATATTTAAAAAAAAATTAATCATTACAATTCTATATCTATGTGAAATGAAATTATTTATAAGAAAATAAGAAATTATGATTTACACAAGTTTATCTGGAATTTTTTAATAGTATTGTATAATACAATAATAATAAATATAATAAATTAATAACTATTGAGTAATATCTAAATTTCTTAAATTATTATTATAATTTTTGATTTATGTTCTTTCATTGAAAATGTATTTTATACTAAACAGACTGTCTGCGTATACAAGTACTGAAATTAAATGAAACTTGAGATATTTCTGTTTTGTGAGTTCTGGTTTCTGTGTACAATTTTTGTTTGGTAGATTTTAAAATAATATGTATATCCTACCTAAACTTAAAAAACCACTATTATGTATTGGCTTATATTATATACACAAAAATCTAATTGTGTTAATGTGTTTGTGTTCTATTTGTGTGTTTTTGATTCATAATTCTGTTGTTTCTATTTATACTATAGGTATTTTAATTGCTGTCTTGTAAACATTGAGTTCAAACTTTGAACTTTGACCACTATCATTTATAAGTTATAACTTTCCAATAACACTGTATTGCATTGTACCTATACATCTTATATAGTATATTCATAAGGTTTCTCAACATTCAATAAACAAATCATTGGATAAAAACTATCGATGTCAATAGACTATAAAGTATAATAATTAGATCAGATATGATTCAGTTGAATTGAGCAGCTTTTATTAATCTATTATCATAATTGTAGTGGAAGTTCTTCAAGCCATTTGTCTGCATCCTTGGTGAATCCATGTAGATCGTTTAAAGTGCCTTCGAATGTGTATAGATCGTATTAATTGATTATATGAGGGGTGAATGACGACAGCCTGCACGGGGACCTCGAAGTGATAATGAAGAAGGGCTATTTATGACATCACAGTAATTTAGAAAAAAAAACAACAAACAATGAAACAAATCCTATCTTAAGTTATAATTATATATTTATATACAAGACACTTATGAGTTAAGAGCCACGTTGTGTAGTTTTAAAGACAATTATTATTGATAATCAAACCGACCATCCTAGAATACTTGTATAAATATACAAATTTAATAATTATAAAAAATAATGATAATAATTGAAAATACTTCGACGATATAAATATAGCGAAACTTTTCGGTAAACTCTTTTTTTGTTAGAGGTAGAAAAGCGTATGGTGAATCTTCTATACAAATTTCGAATGTTAGGTTTAAAAAGAAAAGCATTTATGAATTTCTAACTAAAAAACAATTTGTACATTTTTGAAATTTTAATGATTTTTTTCAAAATTTGAACTTTAAATGCATATAAAAGAAAATTGTGTTCATACATTTTTAGTATTTTTGAAATGCTGGCAGTTTATAAGGAACCTTGAATTACATTTTTTAAACTCTTTATTAACATAGAGAAAAAGTTTTTATCGACAAAAATTTAAAAAAAAATTAGGTTAATCATCAAAATATTATTTATATTACTTAGTTATAAAAACTAATATTACCACTATGAAAATTGTATACACGTCTTGTTATAGCACTCAGTGTGCTGAAATATTTTAATTTACAATAAATAAAAAAAATATTTAGAAATTCTTGCATCGCTATATGAATATTGCAAAAATATTTAAAAATAGGTAGGTTGAGTTAACCTAACCTAACCTATCAAAATTTAAATTTGCCTAAAAATTGCCATTTTTCTTCATTTTTTTTTTGTGTTTTTCCGATGTTTTTAGACAACTGTGAATTCTCAATTTTGACTTCTTGAATGAACCATCTAAATTCACATTTTTATCAACAGATGCTGATGTCGAACATCAGAGCATTGTAATTACGTATCCCAAATGTTGATAAAAGAAAAAAATACACATCAATGTAAATACTTACAATACATTCATTGCTACGCTCAAAATCTAAAAATATATGAGACATATTTCTATTAATTATAATAGTTATATAATATGTAACCGCATTTTAATATGCAAAAAAAAATTTCATTTTTCATAAGTTGAAAAAAAATTCATAGTTACTTATAGGGATTTACAAAATAAGTTATAAGCACTCTCCAAGTCTCAAGGAATCTATTGATACAAGTATACGAGTTTTATTGTCCAGCATTTTTTGAGTCTATTAATTTTGAATTAACCGACGTTCATTTTTAGCTGTATAACCAGACTTTAAATTTATTTTATTCTTCTCTATACGTAGGTAATGAGTTTAAATAATTATGCCGTTCATTATTAATTTGATTACAATACTTAATTCTGCTATAAAACTATTAATTTTTAACAAGTGATTGAGTAAAGAATCCGGTTGAAGGTCAATAAATTAAGCTACATATATAAACTTACTATACAATATATATAATTATTATACACTATGAATCATTTAGTTAAAGATAAGCTACTATATTATTTTTTCAAGAAAGTAAATGGATAATGTAGAACTAAAATATAAGGAACAAATATAATGTTATTGAATACAGAACATATATTATTATGTTATAACATACAGGGCGCTTATAAAGTGGCAAGATTCTCAAAGGACAAGAGAATAATATGTTGAACTCTATAAAGTATCCCAACATTTTAAATAAGTAAAATTTCGTCAAAGTGTAGAACACTGAGTACAAGTATGTAATAAAGTGGATATATATTTTAATATTTATATGCTTTATAGTCG